ATGCTGGTACTGGTATAAAAATAGGCACACAGACAAATGTAACAGAATAGAGAACCCAGAAATAAAGCCTAATATTTACAGCCAACCGATCTTTGACAAAGCAAACTAAAACATCAAGTGGGGAAAGGACACCTTATTCAACAAATGGTGCTGGGATACTTGGCAAGCCACATGCAGAAGAATGAAACTGGATCCTCTCACCTTATACAAAAAATCAACTCAAGATTTATCAAAAACTTAAATGTAAGACCTGAAACCATAGAAATTCTAGAAGATAAAACTGGAAAAACTGTTCTAGACATTGGCATAGGCAAAGAGTTCATAACCATGAATCTAAAAGCAAATGTAACAAAAACAAATATAGATGGGGCCTCAATAAACTAAAAACCTTCTGCACAGCAAAATAAATAATCAGCTGAGTAAACAGACACCGAAGGTATGAGGAAAATCTCTAACACAAAACAGGGTCTGTAGAATCCCAAAGTCTGAATAAATACATTTGGCAGAATGGAGCTGAAGAGAACTAGAGGAATCTTGTGAAAGTGTGAGCTTAAGTGGAATCTTAAGGCAAAAGTAAAGGTTCTCAAACCAGAAATGGAGCTTGTGCAAGATCAAGATCTGAGAGACAAGTGCACTTAGAGAGCTCAGCATATGACTGAAAGTTTGAGGGCACAGCGTCAGGGTCTATAGAAAAATAAAAGGATAATAATAGTTTAATTTGTTTTCAAACTGGTTTACATAACTGAGGGAATCATTCAAAACAACAAGCCTAAAAAAATAATAAGCAGAAACAAATTATAGAATGTATCCAGTGAAACACAGAGATCAAATTCAAGGAATGAAATTCAATATACAAAACAAACAAATATATAAAGCAGTTATTTTTATCTTAGTTCAGTTTTTCTATTATCAGATGTATAAAATAATTCATGTAAATATGTTGGTTCCTAAGCAACAAATATTTCTATATGAAGGAAATTGTTATAGGTCATTTTTAATAGCATGTGTTAAAAGTATTTAAACCTTTGTCAGGAAGATTTCATTTTTGATAGTTTATGAAGGAGATTGACTTTAAAAAAATGACCTTGTTATTTTTGCTGTTAAATATTGCAGAGAATATCTTGTACATCTAAGTAGAGAAAGATATTTTTGCTATGAGAATTATATTACTCTGTGCAGGTTTGGCTAGAAAAATAATGGTGGAAAATATAAATAGGGAAGAAAAAAACTCACATTAAACCCAAAAAGATACATAACAATAAAATTGCAAAGAGCTATTCTATAATGAAAGAAAATCAGAGGGGCAGACATAAAAGGAAATTATTTTTAAAGACCACCTCCTCCACTTCAATTGCATTTATTCAATTGTTTACCCTTTTAATAAAACTCCAGGGAGTAAACAACATGATGAAAAATGGAAAATTACTCATGGCCTTTTAAATTGCCCACTGTAAAGAAAATAAGTGTTAAAAAAAATATTGTCTCATGGATCACTTGTGTTTCACAGATTTTCTCATGACAGCCTGAAAATGCATTCACTTCCTACCCCTTTTAAAGGAAATTTTTACCACACCACTAATTACAAAGTGAATTGTTCAAGCAAAAGGTTTGAGGGCAGCTAAAATATCCCCGTCTGTTTTAAAGATCTCATTAAAATGAACCTATGCCATTTTACTAAGTAACTATTTCATAGCAAAATTATATACCAAAAACATTTTTACATTAGCTGAAGCACAGTAGGGGCTGGAAAAAGGGGTGGAGACAGTTGGAAATGTCTAATTTTTGTTTTCTCATTTGTTTTAACTAGTAAAGCTGCCCAGGGCACGTATTCAATAGAGCTAAGATCGGAAAGATAGACAAATCACTCAAAAAAGTCCAGTATACAAAGTATTTTATCTGTCGAAATTTTTGCCCCTTGGGTTCTTTTGCTTCCTGCTGGTGAGTTTTCTCTTTGTACTGATGTTCCCCAAGGTAGTCATTCTTAGACTTTCTCTTTATTTAGGGAAACTTCTATCAACCGGCCATTGTTTTAAAAAAGTCTGCTTTTATTATTTTTAGTTTTATGAGTTTAATGGTATGATTACTCTTATTTTTTTGTTTGTTTTCTGTTTTAAACACAGAGTTGTATGTATGTTAACGGTCAGGAAGTCAAGGCATCTAATTTTGACCTAACCTAGTGAGCACGCATTCCAGTGGAAATGGGTTACTTTCTCTATAAGAGGGCTTGAACAAATAGTTTCCAACTAACTTGGAGAAAATTTTGCCTTTTGAATTTGAGAATGACAAAAATATCCCTATATAATTGAAAGGAGTAGAAGATGATAATATGATGTGTATTTTGGAAGATTAATATAAACAAATATCTAATCTGAATTAAGCATACCAAGTATAAAAATGGTCAATGAAAATACTAACAGTTTGCAAGTTTGCATAATGTTTTATAATGTATAAAACATGTTTTCAATTAAACTTGCATTATTTCAAATAATCCCATGCAATAAAGGGTTCTATTTATATCATATCCATGATTCAAATACATTAAAGGATTTTTCAAGGACATATCATGGATAAGCAGTACTGGCAAGATGGAATCCTCTTTCATTGATGTTGAATAGCTTTTCTTTTCCATTGTTACACAATTTTCTTATCTTGGATTAAGCGAGGAAGAGAACTCCTGAAGCAACTAAGGGTAAAAGAAAGTTTAGCAAATCAACAAACAGTGAATAATGACAGTGTTCAGATATGATTAATGATAATAGTTCATACTTCATTTTTTCCTAGTGATTTTTGGTATGGTTTATAGCATTAAACAAATGAACAAAAATTCTCAGAGAACTTCCTGGCATCAATCAACTTTAATTTTGTTTCAAGTTCAGCCTCAGTCAAATTTATGAAGTATAGAACATCATCATCATCATCATCATCATCATTATACACACTTTACTGTAACATTTATTCTACCCTCAGTTATGTCCCCATGATCGCAGCTATACATTTTCCCACCTCTCATTCCCTATTTGTGATTTGCCACCCAGAAATGCATCTCATACTCTACTTTCATTATCTCTAGATCCCTCTACTCTCAAAATTCTTGAGCTTGATATGCATATATTTGTTTACAGAATTAACATTCCTAAGAGTCTGCTTTCTATTGTCCAAAATAATAAATAGTATTAAGAATGCTTTTTTTAATCTCTATGTCAATTCCCGTGATGTATTTTTTTTTTAATTTGATAAAAGGTCATCTAGAGAAAAAGACACAACTATGAAGGAAATTGATTAGTTATAGACTTCCAATTTGACAACTATGGAAGGCTTCTAGAGTAATGTTTTTGAGCAGGTGGAAGGTTATATTCTTGTCCCTTTTAAAATGAGGACTATAATTACCTCCAGAAAAAGCTATGCGTAAATAAGAATGACTTGTCAGCAAATGCTTTAAATAATGAGGACACTATATTCAGAAATTTGTTCACTATATTCAGAAATGCCTCCAGTCATAAAATGTGGATGACTGCTATGGCTGGGTACAGTGCTAGGCACATTGCACATGGTGGTGATCAAGCCAGACATATACACCTGTCTATTATTATGCTTACCCAGTGCTGCACTCAGCTGTGGCTGATCATAAGGATTCCATGAGGAGTTGACATAGCAAACAATGCAGTGACCACATCTAGATGATTTCATCCCCCTTGCCCCAACCAATCAACGACCCCAATTTTCCAGCCTCTCACTCTCCTTGACTCTTTTAACAAATCCAGCCCAGAATACCTCAGGGAGATAGATTTGAGGGTGCCCTGCAATCATTAATCTGCCGCAAATCCTGCTATCTCAATGGAATTGGACTGTTACCATGCAGCAGACTTAGGAACCTGTTGGTCCTATAACAAAGGAAGCACTTAATAGCTTCTCTTTAGCATATCTGTATTGCCAGCATTACTACTCTTGTGTTTTGGGACCATTGTTAAGTAAGGGTTACCTATCTGCGGACTAGTGGCATGCACCTGTAATCCCAGCTACTCTGGAGGCTGAGGCAAAAGGATAGCTTGAGCCTAGGAGTTTGAGACTAGCCTGGGCAATGTGCCAAAAACACCATCTCTTAGTGCATAGATATACAGTTAAAAAAAAATAAGGGTCACTGAATACAAGGACTGTAAGATCATGCCACTCGATTTGATCATCATCTCTGATCACTAAGATGGCTACTAAGTGACTAACAGGCAGGTAGTACATAGAGTCCGGATACACTGTACCAAGGGAAGATTCACATCTCAGCAGGACAGAGCGGCACTGCAAGAGATTTCTTCATACTATTCTGAACTTTGTACAATTTAAAACTTATGAATTGTTTATTTCTGGAATTTTTCATTTAATACTTTTGGACCATGATGGAGGTTAACTGAAATCATGGAAATAAATTGAAACCATGGACATGATGGGACCATCATAGTCACTGATTTTCTGTGTATGTGTGTGTAGAAGAAATAGAAATAAATTACAGTACATTCTGTTTTTTATTTGTTTGTTTGTTTGTTTTTCGAGACACAGTCTCATTCTGTCACCCAGGCTGGAGTGCATTGGCATGATCTTGACTTACTGAAACCTCTGCCTCCCAGATTCAAGCGATTCTCCTGCCTCAGTCTCCTGAGTAGCTGGGACTACAGGAACCTACCATCATGCCTGGCTAATTTTCGTATTATTAGTAGAGATGGGATTTCACCGTGTTGGCCAGGTTGGTCTGGAACTCCTGACCTCAAGTGATCTGCCTGCCTCAGCCTCCTAAAGTGATAGGATTACAGGCATGAGCCACCACACCCAGCCAAATTACAGTACACTCTTATAGTAATGAAAACCCACATGCATAGCATAGTAAGATATTCATTAGGCATGTTTTTTTAAAAAAGAAATCAATGGCTTGATATGTAAAACATTTTATATTTTATTTTCTCCAATCAAGCCAAGAGGCTTCTTTTTTTTTTTTCTTCTAATTAATTCTAACCTTTTATTAAGTCTAGAAAACAAAGAAAAAAAACTTTTGAAGTGTTACTAAAATGCTAACTGAATCATTTTAGCATAAATCTAGCCACATGCACTTCAAGGTTCCACTGCTAGGAATTTTGTTAAGATCAGCTGAATCATGAATAATACTATATAACAGAGTATAAGGAACACAAGCATTAGATGTGATCCTTGCCCCATACCCTTAGATTATGTCAGAATAAAGCTGACAATTCTGTCAGGCTCTGAACCCCTAGTGCCCCCAGCCCAAATCTTGGAAGCAAAGAATATGCCCTGTCATACAACTTTGTACAAGTTGTAGTAAAACAAAGCTTAAGTTTTTTCACCTTTCTATAGTAAATGGTCAGTTATTTGATAAATACTAAAACGCTGCTAAGAATCCATTTTGAGTTTGTTTACCAAACACATTGTGCAAGAACTGACTACATAAAAAGTTCCTTTGAAATTTGGTCCACAAATTCACTTAAGGTTGGAAATTTAAAACTTGCAAGAAAAAGAGGAAGCGGGTATCCCTAAATCCTAACATGTTGTGATTACTAAAGGGATATATATGCGTACTAAAAAGTTTTGCTCACAGAAGGCACAAACTATAAAAGGGATATTCTTTTTGAATTTAAAAAGTTAAACCTGAATTCACTGTCTACTCCTGTGACCAAAAAAAAGAACATAAAAATTAACTTTGTTTTACCATGTACTTTCCAGCCACTAATTGAGATGTAGTTATGAAAGATTAAAATTGCCTTAAAAAGGGGTCATGATAGCAGCTATCAAAGCAATATTCAAGCATGATTTCAAGGATGCTTTCAGGTTTAGAATTAGCCTTCCTTGTCAAAAATCTGCACAACTTCATCAAAAACTTCATCAACAGATTTAGAAGCGTCTATTTTCTTGACTTTCCCCATTTCTTCATATAAGTCAATAATTGGCTTTGTTGACTGAAGGTATGTCTGAATTCTCTTTTCCGAGCTCTCTCTGTTGTCATCACTGCTACCACTACTCTTTCCCCTCTGGAGACATCGTTCAATACAGATCTCATTATTACAGTCAAAAAACAGAACGAAAGATACATCTGCCTTCCCATCCATGGTCTTGTTCCAACCTTGAAGGTTGTCTTGATTTCTTGGAAACCCATCAATCAAGAATTTATTCTTGTGAGCATTGGCAGCCATTGTCTGATCCATTTCCCTCTTTAATAAACTGATGGTTATCTCAACTGGTACAATCTTTCCTTCTTTAATGTACTTTTCAATAAGTTCACCATACTGTGAATCTGGGTTCTTCCTTTCATCACGAAGCAGCTCTCCTGCAGAAAGGTGTGTGTAACCATATTTCTCGACGATGCGGGCGCACTGGGTCCCCTTGCCGGCGCCGGGGCCGCCGAGGACGAACACTACCAGCGGCTTCATGAGACGGGGAGGGCAGAAGAGAATCGGCCGGCGGGTCTGCAGCAGGAAGTTAAGGCCCAGGACGTGGAGCAGTCGGCTGCGGCAGCGGCTCAGCATACACAGCTGCTCGGCCGGACGCTGAGGGAGCTGACAGCGGCCGGCGAGGCGCGGGGCGGGGCAGGGAGGCGGTGGGAGAAAGGGGCGGGCTGAGCCGGCGTCCGCCGCGGCCCCGCCGCCGTGGCTGCCCAGGCGTCCGCGGCACCAAGAGGCTTCTTATACCATTATCATTTTACAACAAAACCAGAAAACTTACAATCACAAATATATTGTGATTGATACTGACATCACCCTCATCTCAGAAATTTATTTATTCAGGATTGTAAACGCGGAATGATGATCAGACTTCTGAAAGCAATTGCCATTTAGCTGATCTTTAATTCTGGTTAATATTTAAGGATTCATAAGCTTTTCAAAGTAAGAAGGTAATAAAATTCTCTCAGACTACTCCTAGACTTTATCTTGCTCATTAAACTTTGTATAATGGAATGTTTCTAACATGTAGACAAAAGTACATACCATATATTATATTTATATGAGTAATATGTAGTAGTATAGTACATGGAATATGAATAGTATATTGTATTCTTAGGCACCCATTAACCCAATTCAAAAATTAGCAATTATTAAATTGTGGTCTAACTTAATCACATTGATATACCCAAATTCTTTCAGTCACAGATTATTTTCAATCAAATTGCAGACCACAAATTATGTTATTCATTTAAAATCTAGTATATAACTCTACGTTACAGACTCTCAAAAATAAAAAGAAAACATAATACTAAACATTACTAAACAAAAATAACAATTTCTTAACATCTCCATATATTCTGCCTTCAAATTACCCCAATTTTCTCCAACTTTTGATGCAGCTTGTTTTAATCAAAATTCAAAGAAATTCTATACATCACAATTAATTGATACACCTCTTAAGTTATCCTTGATTTGGGAGTTTCCCCTCCACCTCTTTTTTTATTTTTTCTTCAATGTTGCCTGTGGAAGGGAATGGAAAATCTCATTTCTCCTATTAGAGTTTTGTCATTTAAGTAAATTAGATGTTCCCAAACCGGCCACACCTATGTGTTTATGCCATTCCGCACACCGTTTTATGATGTTTTGCAATCTCACTGTGAGTGTAGTTTGTTTCTCCCATTAGATTTGGGCAAGGGTTGTGACCGTCCCGACTAATGCAGTATAGTAAATGTGATGGTATGCAATGTCCGTGACTAGTTCAAAAACGATACCATTTTGACCTGACTCTCCTGCTCTTTTTCCCCAAATGTTGATGTTGGAACCCAACCACCATCATCACGTTTGGCGGAGGACAAGACACATGGGAATGCCAGCATGTAGATGTTTTGGTTGACAGCCCACCTAGAGCCTCAGCTAATAGCCAATATCAACCACTAGACATGTGAATACAAAAGCCTTCAGATACTTTCAGCCCCATCCTTCAAATCTTCCTCCTGAGGACCCAGATGCTGTGTAGCAGAAACAAAAAGTGCATGCAGTGCCCTGTCTGACATAACTCTTAGCTTCATGAGACCTAATAATTGTTTATGGTCATTTAAATCCAATAAGTAGTTTATTCCGCACTTATAAGTATATGTAAGTAATATATCTAATTCTGGATATTGTTGAATACTTTATACATGTTGTTTTCTATTTTACAAGAGTGCCAGGATCTTTATTTATCTCACTTTGTGGTCTTAACATTTCCTTTCTAAATTGATGACAATGGCTTATTACACATGTTTCATTATGGGTTGCAAAATGATGAAATTCTAATCCTATCATTCTTTATTTGATGGTTAAAATATTTATATGATGATCAACTTCTCTATCATTGTTAGCTTAAAATGTAATTCAAATAAGAAAAAACGAGATTAAATATGCAATACCTACCACTTTAAAAATAATCTGAATGGAATTGGTATTGACAGATATTTCTAATCTAGATCAGCCCAAATGATAGTAGAATTTCTAATTCCATAAATTTGGTGTGAGTCTTAAGAATCTGTATTGACAGCAAGTTTCCAAGTGATGCTTATGCTGTTGGTACAGGAACCAGACTTTAAAAACTGCTACTCTAATTACTTTCATCTTTAAAAACAAAGATCAGTTGTGGTGGTTTATGCCTGTGATCCCAGAGTTTTGGAATGCCAAGACAAGAGGATCATTTGCTACCATGAGTTGTAGAACAGCTTGGGCAATACAGTGAGGCTCCATCTTTAAACAAATGATAATAATAAATTAGCTGGACATGGTGGCACATGCCTGTAGTAGTGGTAACTCAAGGCTGAGGCAGGAGGACCACTTGAGTCTAGGAGTTCCAGGTTACAATGAGGTATGATCTTGCCACTGCACTCCAGACAGCGATACTCTGTCTCAAAAACAAAACAAAACAAACAAATAACAGTGAACATAACCAGTGATCAATACCTTTGTTTCTATTTTGATACAAACATCAAAGCAAACTAATACATAGTCATAGAAAGTAGATAAGTATTTATCTGGAATTTGGGGAGGTTGGAAAATATGGACAGATAGAAGGGATTACCAAGGGGCATCCAAATCTGTTAAAGGCTGTGAATATCTTCATTGTCTTGACGGTGAAGTTAACTAATTCTACACATTACATGTGTGCAGATTAGTTTCAACTTTACCTCAATAAAGCTGGTTAAAAATAAGGGGAAAAATGAAAAGCAAGATATATCATTATTTCCTTTGATTTACATGTTATCAAAATAATGAATTAGTACCCTGTCATCTTCTAACAATGACCCTGGAGTATTTTGTTTAACTTTTGGATTTTTCTCTAATGGTTAAGAAATTGTATCTGAAGTGGTTTTAACTTGCATTTCTCTTATTATGAACAATGATCAGAACTCTGTTATGTTTGGGTTCAGTTTAAACTGTTTCTTCATGTGTCTTACCCATTTTTTTGGAGTGAGACAAAGATAAATGGACTCAGTGAAATATACAGGGATCTATTTTTAAATGAATAACCACAGTAGAAACAACAGTTTTAGCCTCAAATCTGATTTGTCACCCAGCAACAAAGAATGAAGAAGGGACATTATCAGAACATGCAAAGTTGACCTTATGACATTTTAACCTACATTTTCCCTAAGTTTCTCAGGAACTAAATCCTGACATTTGACAGTTCAGCAAGCATTTATTTTATTTATGCCATATTGAGAAAAAAATCAAGAATTTTTGAAGAAAGTTTATTAACAAATAACGATTAGGCTACTTGGTTCTTCCAGTATCAGTAAGATGGTCCAAAACACTAAAGCAATTATTCAGATAGTCCATGTCAAATAATTTAAATTTTACTTCACTCTAGTGAATATTTTAAGAAAATCCTTTTTATTACATTGGAATATAAGACAGAAAGCACATGGCATACAAAGACTTAACAGTTAAAAAGAAAGTGCTGACATCTGTACACTTGTTAAAATTTTCCCTGTCAATTTATAAATTTTATCCATAGTAGCATTCTCAATGAGCTACTGCATCTCATTGAAACTGCACCATATAAAATAATAATTAAATGTTCCTCAAATTAGCAAAACTGATTCAGTGCTAGTATGTTTTATAAATCTAGTCTTAAAATAATACTTTTTCTAGCCTAATTATTTAAAATAAAAAAGCATCACACAGACACACACACATTTACACATATGCTCAATGAACTAGAACTTTTCAGATATAGGTTCTAAGAAATGCAACAGTGAATAGAGTAAGACAGAAAAGAGAAATGAGGCTTCGTCTACAAATGGCCTGGAGCTATCTTAATACTGCAAGTTTCAGTGTGATTTTGACTAAATTGTGTGCACATATCAAAATTTGTTGCCTAAAACTTTCAACATAGTTAGTGAAATTTTTAAAGTGTTCTTCAGTATTTCTTGCTGCTTATTTCAGATTTTGTGGGCTGTAGTAGTTTATTACAGTTGTAATGGTTGGCTTCTCAGCAAAGAATAAATAATAAAACTTTAACAGTAAATGTATTTCTATTTTTATTCCCCAAACTCAAAATATACTCTAAAGATTGTAAAGTCCACTAGGTATAGTGGCTCATTTCTTTAATTCCAGCACTTTGCGAGGCCAAGGCAGGAAGATCACTTGAGGCCAGGAGTTTGAAACTAGCCTGGTTAACATAGCAAGACCCCCATCTCTACAATAGAAAAAATTAGAAAAAGAAAATTAGCCAGGCATGGTGATGTAAAACTGTAGTCCTAGCAACTTGCAGGCTGAGATGGAGGGATTTCTTGAGCCTGTATGTTTGAGGGTACAGTGAGCTATGACTGTGCCATTGCAACCTAGCCCACGTGACAGAGCAAGACCATTAAAAAAAAAAATAAAATTGTAAAGTCGGCCGGCCGTGTTGGCTCTTGCCTGTAATCCTAACACCTTGGGAAGCTGAGGTGGGCAGATCACCTGAGGTCAGGAGTTTGAGACGAGCTTGGCCAAAATGGCAAAACCCCGTCTCTATTAAAAATATAAAAATTAGCTGGACGTGGTGGTGTATGCCTGTAATCCCAGCTAACTGGGAAGCTGAAGCAAGAGAATCGCTTGAACCTAGGAAACAGAGGTTGCAGTGAGCCGAGATTTCACTACTGCACTCCAGTCTGGGCAACAGAGCAAGACTCCGACTCAAAAAGAAAAATAAATAATAATTATAAAGTCTAACCTTAATTAAAAGTATTAAACATAGAAAAATAATTTATTTTTGAAATCTCTGATCTAGCAGAGGAAACAATTTCAGAGGAATAAGGTAAGACATGTTTGGAAAACTGGAAAGATAAAAAGGACAGGGATCCTGGAGAATCTGAGTGAGGGGAGGAGTGAGCTCAGCTGTGACGTGTAAATAGCTTAGAAGGTATTACTTCTATCCGTTCAACAATGAAAACACCTGTACAAACTGAAAATCAATGACTTTTCTTGGACCTATAAGCTGTTGAGATTACAGGCAAATCAACACCTCAAGTTCTGGAAAGGCAAGTTTGTTCAGCCAAGATCTGCAACAGGGAGTCATAAACTGGTAAAATTACTTATATGGCAATTTTGATAAATTGTTGAAAGCTAAATGTAGATCACTACCAAATAACCAAATATCAAGTACCCAGGGCCAAAGACTTTAATAGAGCCTTATCCTAGCTGAAGAGGGGTCTTTCCATTCTAGTCATTT